ATAACTCAATCGTTTCTTAATATTTAAGTATAGCAAACCAAGAGAAAACCCAATAGACATAATCTTTTGTACAGAGCAGTCTCTTTTATTGCCATATTGCTAGCCAACGTCTAATCTTATTTAAGCACAGTAATATTGATACACATTTTTTCTTATTTATCACCCACTAACTAGTTGTGTAATACGATTATTCAATATGAAAAATTATTGATAGACTGCATAGTAGTCTTAATAGCTACCGAAAATGACTAATCGGCATGCTATGGATGGCAGATAAGAACTTCGCTTTATTCTGTTAGATTGTTAGACTTAAAACTCACCCAATGAAAGCTTACGATGCATCACAATTAATTAATAGCAACTTTTGGAAATCCGAAACTACGGCTACACTTAATGCGTTGATTATGATGTAATAAATCAAATATTTATTAACTACACATCAAAATGTATGTATACTGATTCACTGGACAACATATTCCAGATTTTTTCCGTCTTCATTTATTCTTCTACATCTAAAAACATTTATAGTTGTGCACCATGAATCAGGTGGCAATCTAACATGAAATTCCGCACTGTAGCTGGCATTAAAATTCAGAACGTGTCTCGTCCTACTTGGGACATGTTAGCTCTATGTATTTGTATCTAATAGTTGTTCACTCCAAGATTCGAACCTAGTACTTTCCACTTCAAACCCGAAAACGCGCTATCTCTTCACTGTGTATTTTCTCTAAAAAAGCCACAAAATGACTATATCGAGGTGATTTGCACAGAATACATATATGCCATTTGAGACCGATCAAATTTCAACCAAATTATTATCAATAGGATAACTCAAAAACCCTTACAAATTAAATTAGCATAAAATTATATATTCCACAACAGTATTCGTATTTCCAATAGGCAATAACGTAACCTATGATCTTTGACAAATCCCACGAGAAACTTAAGTATTGTTTTATAGTTTGCATCACGAGTCAAATTTCACTGGACAAATGAAAACAGCTATCCACTGTTTCCTAGTTTTTCGGTGGTTAACATCCAAAATAACAGAATTTCCATTTTATGCTTTCGTTCAAAGTTATTTTATCCCACCCTCTGTGGTTTGATGAGTGTTCAATACAGAAGAGTGCTAAAGTATAGTAAGTCAATCGTTCAGGACTCACTATTTACATAATAAACCGATTTTAATTAGATTATCAACAAACATTGGACACCTATTTCGTCTTATTATCGAACTCTTTAGTGGTGCTCATCTAAACCCCACTCAGAGTTTAGTCTAAGACGTCCAAAACTCAAGGTGAGTGCTTGACCTTTAAACAGTTAAACTGGCACTCAATGATTTACATGTACTACTTTAATCGATTCGTGATACTGCATGACATTCTTATCTGGTATCTGTTTACGGTAAAGATTCATCACAACTTTTGGAAAAATGCACTCACTTCTAAGTATACAATAAAAGACATTTTAAACGTTTTATTTAATGTTTAAAATAGTTCAGTGTTGGTTTTATTGTTTTTAAAAGTCCGAACTACCCGGTTGTTTATCATTCAGAGATGAATTATTGATCACTCTTTGTTGTATATGTTGTATATGTTTACCCTATTTGTTTACCCATTTGTCACAAGTTATTTGAAATAGCCCTAAAAAGTTAAGGCTTACTTTTGCTCAGTGGCTAAATGGATAGTACGTTGACATCTAATAATAATTTATTATATATATAATGATGTGAAAATCGACGCTAGGATGCAAATATGCCCAAGTGATAAGTATCAGTTAGGACGAAACGCGGATCCAGGATTTGGCTGTTTATCCATTCTGCAAGGTATAATATTGGTTACGTTGTTTGATTTGATACTGAAGGATTCAGATGGTTTGGTACAACAAAAACAACGAACGTAACATATATAATCGGCATTTATAACGTGGTAATTTTCAAGAAACTATCAAATTCATAATACATTTTAATAGTAGATAACTTCAAGTCGGTGAAATCAGAAGTTGAAGTATGAATGTTAGTAGTATAGTTTGTCATATTTCATTTCATTAGACTTTTGAATAGTTTAGATTAACTCCTTTTTCTTGTTCTATAAGTTATTTTATTGTAAACACATATTGAGAGACAATTAAGAATACCATTTAAATCACAGTCTATAAATCAATATACTTTAATCCATTCGTTTGAATTACAAAAGACTAAATTGCATTGAAGAGCCAGGTCGTTTTCGAACCATGACTTAGTGATACCTGCATTTTGCCTTATTGATCACAAAAATGAATATTTCATTCATTCAGCCCATATGGCATATGATTGGTCAAAGAATATAGACAGCATATCCAGTTCACTATTTGTTTATATTGTAATATATACTTCTACCTTCTGCCCCTTTTATTAATAAACACTTTCTCTTATCTGTATCTAATTCTCTACGGAATAACGGATTTATTGAATGCGAGTGTATGACATCAACTAGCAACCTTATAGCATAAATGAATTTACTTGCATCCTGATTTTCTATTGCAATTCTTATCGTGGATTAAATTCAGAATTCATTACTTGAAAGGAATGAAATGTCATGACATTTACAATAGAAAGTTACATTAATTAAATCGTGGAAACAAAATTTTAAAAAAATGAGAAAGATCAGAGAGTTTCTTGATAGTGTTAAGTAATTCTGTAAGAACAAAGGCGGAACATTTTTGTTTTGCAAGCCTTAAGTAAATGTTCAATTTGATTAAATGTTGGAAAACGGTTAAATTCATCGCAGGCAATTTGAACATGTTTTTTCACATTTCATAGAAATCAGCTCATCTGTTTAATAATGAAGATAACAATAAAGAATGCAAAATAGATACGTATATGTTTCATAAGTGACTTTCTTGGTTGAGATGTTGTCAAATAGACTGTATTCACTCATAAATGTTAGTCTCTTCAGATTTCAGTTATCTAAGTTGTTAATAAGAAGTAAATATTAATTAGTGTAGACATTCATGTCCTACACAATGTTAAGACGTCTTGGATAGCTAAGTGATAACAGTTCATTCTATGACATTTGGGGGAAATGGGTCCAAGTCCATGATAAAGTGTATGTTAACTTAAAATTTCAAATGCACCTTGTAAATAAGTTGTGGCTGCTGTGAAACCTAGGTTAGGTTGATTTTCTTCAATCATCCAACCTCAACTAATGAAGAAGAATCAATATCTCATGGTAAACAGTTATCTCAATACAACAGTAATCAAGTACTAAATGTATTATGAAGTTAACTTAATTAAAATTCTCAAATTTAAATATCGTTTTTCAGTTTCATATGGGGGACGTAAAGCGGAGTTTCATCACGAAAAGATATAAATGAAAGAATCATTTTGCATTAAGGAATACCGGAATATTTTTCAAATCGGATATGACTAGAAATCTTAAGAATAACCTTATTTTGAGTTGATCTATGAATGATCTTCTCCAATAGATAGTTGATCCAAGGACATGTTAAAGAGAACCTGGCGTGAGAACCACCTCAATGTGTATCTATCAGAATGTTTCCTTCTACGGAGTACGTTATGCTGGCCAAACATAACTTGCCTTTTCTAAATAAATATCTGAATCCTATTTAGCATAGTTATCTAAAGACGAATTCAAATAACTCAATCGTTGTGTTGTTGAAAGTTTGGTCAACTCCGGTCATCTGTCTCTATACAAACTTCAAAAATTATCGATAAAATCAAACGGGTTGGGAAAATCTGTAAAGAACTAGTGAATAGCTGAGGTTCTAACAGTTCGTCAATCTAACCTTGATGTCTGTGTTTAGATGCTATGTGTACAGTACTTGGTTCTTCCGTGGTCCCAGCGCCAAGTCGTTAGATTTCAATAATTCTGAAAGATTATCTGACATGTATATTCATCACTTCTTTACACTTATCAAATTAGCAGTTATCTTAAGTATACCCTGCAAATTGTTACTTCCGCTTCCCCCCCCCCTATTGCCCTTCACTTATCGGGCAACTTATACACAATACATGGAGACATAAAATTAAGTGGTGACTGATGTCATGTACTTCCAGCCCTTTAAATGTTGATGGAGTTCCGTCGACCAGGTTGAAATGTAGCCACTAGTCTAAAAGACAACTTTAAATTTTAGGTGGCTGAGGGTAGTCTATAGGAAACACCGTTCGACCTGAGTTTCGTGCTAGTTGACGCATATCGGGAAGTGGTACCTTCTATCTTGAGGGAAACTATGTGTTCTGATGGATTAAAACCTGCGTCCTCCAGCTCAACTGACTGGATTGTTACTACTGATCTGTTCAGACCGCAATTGACCTCCTAAAGAGTCTCCTGGTGACTGCTTGTAAGGAACTAATATCTCGACATCATACTTGTGATTTCAAGTCACTAAGGTGAATAACCAAATTGCACTTAAAAAACTAGACAAATATGACATTGGTCACTACTTAAAATCAATCAATGTTAATATCTCAGGATGTCAGTCGCGGCTCGAATAGCTTAGCAGCAATATATTGGTCTATAAAACTTAGTGAAATAAGTTCAAATCATACAAGGAGCATCAGTCCCCTTAAGATCGGAGGTGATCCATGCTAACTAATAAGACAAAAGCTAGGTACAGAGTCCCCTGTTGACTACCACCAACTACCTAACATCAAATGAGAATATTTTAAATTAATATTTCTCAATTCTTTTATCATTTAACAATTTTCTGCTAAATGTTAATTAACTATAAATACCACTGTGTAACTTTAACAAATGTAATAATCGAATAGTCGGTTTTCTTCACTGAACTGCCTTTATTAAACTTGATTATGTAACAGGTATCATTCATTGTTATAAAATATATTTCATTGAATATAATAATTTTTTATGGAAAAATGATAATGATGATAATAATAGTAATAAATTCAATAAACAAAGTTTTTTCTACAATATTCTTCCCATTTGGTTAACATTGGTGTTATCGTTGTCATTGTTGTCATCTCATTGTTGTTTCAACCTTCAAAACACCTTCACTGCAACTGAGTTGATCTTACTTTGTAATTCCTTGACAAAATCACTTAATGTTGTTTCATTTTCTTCTGATAAATCCACATGAATCATATCAAATCTTTGAGGTGACTGTGGTCGAATTAAACTTCCTCCATACTACAGAAAGGTAACGAAGCAAAAGAAAGACTAAGGAGTAGTGAAAAACGTATATAATGAGAAAAACGTCCAACCGATAAATTCTGATGCTCATCAGTATACATATGGAGTAAGATTTCATGACTGAGTTTGAAATACTGGGTTAACCAGAAATCGGCTAAATGATAGATGTACACGACTGAACAAGAATTGGCTTACATTCCCTAGAAGTGAGACATTCATCAATGATGGCCCAAATTTCTTAGGGGAGGATATATATATATATATATATATATATATATATATATATATATATATATATATATATATATATGGGTATACATACATGACTATTCGGTTGTTCAATAAAAATCCTTTCTCAATGTTGGTTGCTTCACTCGACTAATCAGTTAGGCTAGTACATAGGAGGATTCCGTATCAGTCTCGACATCAGATGTCGCATGTCTCAACAAAACGTTTTGTCGTTAAGCTAAAACACGTTATGTTGAAAGTAGATAAAATGGGATGGTACTATGTGGCCTTGTGATAGCTACTCATAAGACCAAGTTATTGATACAAGCCATCAACTAAACTGATATTAGAAAACAAGACCCATAGCTATAACAATTAAATATTTGTATCTAGTAAACTTGTGCATAAAATGTTTACAAGTAAATAAAATGATTAGTTATTATAGACGATTAGACAAAATCGATTTGTAGGTCACTTATTCTTCAAAGGATAAGTGCCTAACTGTTAAGTTTAATTCTTGCCCTATCATATATTATCGTAACTTCATTAGGCTTACATACTACTGTTCATTTGATTTGAGTTTGTCTAATGTGGTAAACCAAATGTTTACAATTTAAACTCTTGTGAATTTAGTACTCTTAGTTTTTGTACAGACTAGAGAATAGGACTACAACAATAGTATACATTCCAATAGTAGCCATCTCAAGGGGATCGTGAGGATTTTTAATGGACAAAAATTATGTTGTTATAGAAATTATAAGAAAATTTTCTAAAATTGATCATTAAAGTGACTAATTAATCGAGTTCTAAGATTTACTGGACGTTCTCAAAAGGATTGACTGTTTTAATCGTATATGAAACCTTTCTCAGAATCACAGAAGTTTTTAAAACATTTATTATTCTGCTTTCTTAAAAAAAAACTCTCCGTAGTGACTGTTTAATATTACTGTGTTATATCCCGATAAGAATAATGAATGGTAATTTTTAGGATCCATTTATGGACCAATACTGTGTATATTTTTACTGTATAATTGCTAAATAACCAAACTATTCATACTCATGTCCCTCTTATTATGAGCTTTATTTTGATCTATGCACTATTATTATACGATTTACTATTCTTGAGTTATACCCTGTCCACCAATTACTATCCCCGTTATTCACAGCCACATTTGGCTAAATCTTGTACAAATGTTGTTTCCTATTTTATGGTATGCTGTGGTCTGTCTTGTTGGTATATAAACCCAGTATGTTTGAAATACATGATTCATATCACAGAGGCTGAGATTGGTGTTCTGGACTTAACTGGCTGGGCTAGGCAGGAAGCAGGGCTGATAAGTAATCTAGATTGCTCGCATGGGGTTTTGTGCGTCATTGGTCCAATCGATAATTTACTGTTCTCTAATCGGCGGTATTACCACGTTATATACTAACAGGTCACACAGGCCACAAGTTATAACACTGTGACAAGTTAGGAATTATTTCTAGTTAAAATAATAACAGAAGTATACAAAAGTTACATGATACTACTTTGAACGTAACAGTCGCTTATAGAAAGGTTGACAAAAGTAATAGATCAACTGTTCTTTTCTATACGTTCTTTTCAATATTCAATTACGAGAAATGAAATGAAAATGCCATATATCAATCTATTCTAGAATGATTGGATTTGTATAATATAATAATTAACAAACAATTTCAATAACGTATTCCATGAGAGATAAATGATGAATGTGGATCTATTTCATGTATGAGTCCTCACAGCTAAATAAACTGAAATATAAACAAAACATCCTATTCAAAAATTCTTAGTTTTCATTACTTCTTCAACTGATAATAATTTGTCATGAAAATCACCTTTGAATTTATTCATTAAATAGATTCATGGAGATTATTAAGTTAATTATTATAATTAGTACTTGAACAACAAACATATTAATTACGGCGAATTTGTTACTTGTCAGTAGTAACTGAATCCCTAATATTAAAAATTATGTCAATGTAAAGTATCAACAGAGAATGAACTACATTCGGCTTTATTATAATGTTATTTGTTAGTGTTGGGGTTTGAGTAGGTTTGATAAAGTCATAATTATCAGAATGGGTTTTGTGGAGATTTTTAGAAATTTCACAAGTTGAAATCATGAGCCAATTGAAGCTAGACCACCATAGGAAACCTGGAAGCACTGGACGGCCGTTTCGTCCCATTATGGGACTCCTCAGCAGTGCGCATCCACTAACCCGCCCCCCGCGAGATTCGAACCCAGGACCTATCAGTCTCGCGCCAGGCGCTTAACCAACTAGACCACTGAGCCGGCATCCGACGGTGTTAATGTCTAACTTCAACCAATCCACGAAGTTGCGCCACCGTACACCATTGTCTTCAGTGAGTTGTTATCTCACAACAGACCTGGTTGAACTCCACTGGTAACGACTTCTCACTAGAACTCATAATTTGTATCAAGTACTGACCTTGATAAGACGACCACTGACAAATAAGTGGTAGTGGATAGCTGTTTCATCCTAGCCTGGGAATACCCAACCCATCCACAATCCTACCAATGATAGGACCGAGAACCTTTCGATTTTTCAGTCGCTCTATACTTCCATGAATAAGTTATCCAGTGTTTCATGATTATGAATGGTTGCCTGACTAAGATTAGTCCGTAATGTAAACTGTAAGGTTGTTGTTTCTATTCATATTTTTCTAACTATATAAGCTCAAATACTTCCAAAGATTATTAAGTTATCAATCACTTAATAATCAATGGATATAAAAAAGAATTATGAGGATTGATAAAGTTATTTGGAAGAATTTATTGTAGTGTAGTTTATTTCAGTTTTATAGACGTAAGACTGTCTGATTCTTAAGCTCAGATGAATAATAAAGAAAAGGTTTTATTGTTTATTTTGATATCCGTGGTTCTAAACTTGGAAATGTGAACTACTGTAATTCCCACGATGAGAGGTGAAAACTCAAAGATTGGTGCAATGAAGATTTATTGACTTTTCAAAAACACGACGTTGTTAAACCGAAAACACACACTTGATGGTTAGTGAATTAATGTTATATAAATAAAAAGATACACAATGTTACTGTAAAATACATAGGAAATTCGAGATAGTGGAGATCTGTAGCCCAGGTGGATGATTTTGATGGAGTTTTGTTCTCTGAGCTCGATGGTTTGGTCGTGGAGCTTTCATCGTTCTTATGAACGACATCATCAGCACAAACTTCAGAAGTTTGTGCTGATGATGTCGTTCATAGAACAAAACTCCATCAAAAACAGGAAATTCACACAGAATAATACAAAGAGTGTAATTGTCACACTAGGTAAAAGTTTACACCGGACATACTAAACAAAATTCTCACTTGATCGATACGAAACACATAGACCTGAAATAATGTTACACTAGAGACTACAAACTCCATATCTTACTGATTAAAATGTTACACCGAAAATAAAACGAATGTCAAACTATCACACTGTGAATTTAAACCAATGTCATAAGACTTTATAGTGAGTTAGAGAAAACCCGTAAACTTGACTTCTTATCCAGGTTTATAACCTATATACTTCATAACAAAACACGTTAAACGTTACTAAAGTGATAGGGAACTACTTGGTGACATTAAAAGAATTAAAGTCAACCTTTTTACGTATCTCAAACACTAGTGAATAAATATAGCGGCCATATAATAAATCGCATAAGTTTTAACAATGTGTGAATATTATACACAGGAATCCCTGACGTGATGGTGGATACCCACTCCTGAGGTATCCTCCACTAGGACAAAGCAACTCTTGGGTTATTGCAAATTTTCGATTAAAACATAACAAGTCCTAAACTATCACAAATACCAACTATTAAAAGCAGTTTATAAAGAATGTATAAACAAAATATAACAAAGTTGTCTATGAGAAAACACATTAGTTTCATATATTTGTTGTTTTTAAATGAGTGGAAAAAATTATGAGGAAACAGGGAGAATAATTCTACCAAATGTATGTTCATATACATTTAGATGAGGATGTTGGCGAGTTCAATCACTAACTGTCGTACATAAATACAATAGTAACAAATTCAACCTTTGAAAAGGCCTTATGAATATGATTTTGAAAAACAACAAAATTCTTAAAAAAATGTATAAAGTGAAAATCAGATGGTAGATATTTCTTTTTGCCTACACTCAATCTTCTCAAAACAAAATCCATACACTTTCTAGAATCCAATTCATAGATAGAAATTTGAGTTCATATGTTTATTTAATGACTCCATGTCAGTTATATATATATAATTTGAAAAACTATTGAGAACCAAGACCAGTTGTTTCATCCATGGTTATAAAATCGAAACAATGTATAACCATGACACTAAGTAACAATACACTCAGGAACGTTTAACCTTGCAGCCGGGCATCAGATGATGTTTACCGTTTTGTGATTTGAAGTGTCGTTCACATCTAGGAAAAGACTGAAATTAGACATTAAGAATCTTGGATAATGGGTTACTGGCAGGAAAGTTGGGTGCTCGCTGTGAGATCTGAGAGTCCTGAGTTCAGTCTTCAGTGGGATAAACTAGTGAGAAGTCTTATATTATAATAAAACGGCTATCCAGTGCTTCCTGGTTTCTCAGTGGTTGTAGAATTAGGATCGATTAGTGCTGTGAAGTATATAATTACTCAGTATCCTCCCTCCATTTTTCTCCAATTTTCATTGCTTCTCTTAGTGATGTCAGTTTGGATCGTATAAGCCTATTGACAAAAT